GCAGGCTATTTTGATGGAAGTGGACACCCTCGCAAGTCCGACTGAGCTTGGGGAACACCACTTGAGTGAAGGCAATTGACTAGCCTCGCTCTGGACATGTAGTGAACAGAGGGACTTTAAGTCAGCCCACAGCAAAAGCCCAACACAAAACCAAGCCTTAGCCAAACTGTTAAAATTTCCTTCAAGAAACAGGCTAGCAAGCCATTGTAGTTGCTGCCAGTATGTGGACTTGAGACAGCAAAAAAGTCCCAACAGGTCTAAATGGAGTAAAAGGACTCAGAGGCTGGTACCCAGGAGAGTGCACACCCTGGAAAGTTCACATACATATGGTTTGGAACAGTTAAATTGCTTAGCAACATCCAAATCAGAACCAATCAAAATAAACACCTAGTTAAATGGTCACCTGGTTCTAATGGAGGTTGATACCTGCGCAGCGTTTCAGTGATTGCAGAGCCAGTCTTTAACAAAATTCGCTCTGGACTCCAACTCTTAGGCTTGCACAAGACATCGGCCAGACTGAGAACCTATACCAGGGAGTCTTTATAGATTAAGGGTACAACTTCGGTTCTAGTCTCTTATGAGAAGCAGCTGGTTGAATTACCAGCGATTGTAGTAAAAGGCTCAGGCCCAAGCTGATGGGGTGAAATTGGCTGAGAAAGATTCACCTGGTTTATCTCATCACATTTTGATTAAAAAATTGCTGCCTGAGTGAAGTCCTAATTAAATACCCGCAAGTTTTTCAGGGAGGTCTAGGGACTATCAAAAGAGCCAAGGCCACCTTGCATGTTGACCAGGAAGCAATTCCACGATTCTGCAAGGCCCACCCAGTGCCCTTTGCCTTACGGAAGAAAGTAGAGGCAGAAATCAGAAGGTTGGAAAGCGAAGGGATCATCAAACCAGTACGGTTTGCAGAATGGGCAGCACCGGTTGTACCGATTGTGAAGCCCGACGGCTCAGTTTGCCTTTGTGGGGATTTTAAACAAACAGTAAACTGCATCTCACAGCTGGATAAATACCCAATTTCTTGCACAGAGCATTTATATGCAAATTTGGCAGGGGGGGCTGCACTTTTCTTCATGTACGGGACATGAGCCATGCTTACTTGCGATTACAGTTAGATGGTGATTCCCAGAAGTATGCACAATTAGTAGCCATTAGGGTTTGTACCAATATACGAGACGATAGAGAACATTTTGCAAGGCTTACCCCAGGCCGCCATTTATCTGACTGACGTGCTAATAACAGTGAAGACCAATAAGGAGCACTTAGAGCGAACTTGGACATAGTCCGTAAACATTTCTCCCAGGCAGGCATACGCCTTCCAAGGGAAAAATGGATGTTCTAAACACGTCAAGTGACCCACTCGGGCCACAGAGTCGACAAAATCGGGTTACACCTGTTGGAAGATAAAGTGAGGGTGACCAAAGGGACTCAGCTCCCATGTCTTTACTGGACCTTAAGTCTTTCCTTGGGCTGGTGAATTATTAAAGAAAGTTCATACATATTCTGGCCTCCATCCTGGCACCTCTGCATCAACTACTAAAAAACAGTCAACTTTGAAAATGGTCGTGTAGCCAAGCCATAACTTTCAGGGAAGTGAAGAAAACAGCTATCATACTCTAAGGTGTTAGCACGCTATGAGTCCAAACGAGATCTGATATTAACATGCAAATCCTCCCATACGGCACAGTATTAGCTCAGAGGTGGCCCAATGGAGAGGAACACCCAAAAGCATATGCGTCCAGGACTTTGGCTAATGCAGAGCATTAATACATCTAGATAGAGAAGGAAGGTTTAGAAATCATATTTGGAGTCAGAAAGTTCCACCAATAAACTTTACGGATGTAACTTTGTAATAACAACAGACCACAAACTCCTGCTAGGTTTCCTCAAAGAGGACAAGGCAATACCGTCCATAGCTTCAGGCTGATTTCAGCGCTGGGCTGTAATACTAAGTGCATATAATTACAAGTTGGAACACCATCCGGGAAGCCAAGTAATGAGTGCAGATGCAATGAGCAACCTCTTGTTGGCAGATACACCACCGGTGGTACTGCCACTGGAACAGTCTGTAATGGTTTTCAATTTTCTGGACCCACTTCCAGTCACAGCTGACAATATCAGACTTTGGACGCAGGAGATCTGGTCCTGGATCAGGAACGCTAATGTCAGACACAATACTCTGCTAAACGAGAGAGACAGTTTACGTCAGGGGACAAGGTTTGGTGTAGGATCCACGGGAATGGCCCTGCATGGGTAAGAGGAATGGTCAACGCGAGGTCAGGCCCCCAGTGACATATAAAGTTGAGGTAGATGTGGGGCAGCATGGTGGCCCACTGGTTAGCACTGCTGCCTCACAGCGCCAGGGGCCCGGGTTCGATTCCAGCCTTGGGTGACTGTCTGTGTGGAGTTTGCATATTCTCCCCATGTCTGCGTGGGCTTCCCCTGGGTGCTCCGGTTTCCTCCCACAGTCCAAAGGTGTGCAGGCTAGGTGGATTGGCCATGCTAAGTTGCCCATTGTGTTCAGGGATGTGTAGATTAGGTGGGTTACATGGGATGGGTCTAGGCGGGATACTCCGAGGTTCGGTGTGGACTTGTTGGGCCGAAGGACCTGTTTCCCCACTGTAGGGATTCTATGACTCCTAAGCATGTGGGCCATATGAAAGCTGCAAACTCGCAAACGGTGTGGGATCAATAAGTGTCTGGTTCCTCAACTGCCCTTCCGACTGTTCTGGAACCTTTGGGTTCTCCTTCTCCATCAAGCATTGAAGATACCTCAGAATCTGAGCTGGACACAGTGGAACTACAAGAAAAATATTTCCTCGAATCCTCATGATTGTAACAAGGTCAGCCAGGTGGACATCATAGGATACGCGTTCCCTGATTGGACCAGATTAGCAGCACCAATCAGGGAACTCTGGCTGACAGGTAAGAACAGGAGTGTCAGAGGTTCTGTGCACATTGAGACCTGGCTCCGAGGATCAGTAAAGGGTGACTTACTGACGGGGTACCGGCCTCTGTGGAGTATTTTCACACAGCAAGCACATCCATTCCACTATTTCACTCAGTAAGTCAAGCAGAAGCAAGAGGCTCCTACAATGCGATTATTTCAAAAACAGAATTTTACAGTAGATGTGAACACCCGGTATGATTAATCGAAGTTGCCTCGTACAGTTGCTGAATCCTTCGAGTGGTGCTGCAGTGCTCAGGCTCCGTCACTAGAGGTCCCCACAGTATGAGCCTGACTAACCAGCGGCATCTAGTGACAGAAGCCAGAAACTGCAGGATGGAGCTGGAGTCTGACCCAGCCCTGGAACCTGACTTCTTGGTTTTCCTGGGACCTACTGGTTTTGTCATGCCTCAAGGTTACAAAGGATCTCATGGTTCACTGGGATAGTTTCTAAGCCTGGAAACTGCTGCATTACTGTATTTCTGCTATTCTACGATCACTGCTCTTTTTGACAACTGCTCACACTCTGCCAGTTTCACCCAGCCTTTGTAAAGCTGTTGAATCTAAGGCCCTAATTATCCCATCTTGCCATTTTTAATTCCCCCTGATTTCAGACTTTGTCATTTTATCAGGATTTTGGATTTAGTTTTTCTGCGCTGTATGGAATCTCTGAGCTTCCTTCTCAAACCTTGTGCAGAACACCCCACGTTTGTTCAGTGGTTCTGCTACTTGAACCATCACATTTTTTTTGTCAAACTTAGATGAATTTCAAATAATTTATGTCCTGTTCAGGCACCGGCTCCTGACATGCTCTGGTTCCAATTTGGTTCCAATTCCATGTATTGGATTGAACCAATTTCTGATCCACTTCGGAGGTTTCCCCTCTCTCCACAATCTGATCTTGTGGGCCAATCTACAGTGTTCCAAATAAGATTAAGGGCTAAACGGACCAGGCCCGAGACTCTGTGAGCTGAGTTCCTGAATGTTACACCACAACTACCATGTACAATGGTCACTGGCAACACAGAGGCTCAAGGAAGGGGAGGGCACCCTTCACTCCCGTGAGGCAGGTGGGTGTGAGTACCTCCCAGTCTGCCAGTAAATGTGCTTCCTGCACCCTGTCCCCCCCAACAAGAGTGTGGGTGAGTTTCCCAACACATCTTTGGAAATCATTCATAATTCTCCAATGCCTGGATTCCTCACCGTTCCTACGCTCCAGCCAGCGATGGAGCATCTGTGTGGGCCTCTTTGCCTCACGGAGGTCCCTACAATGTCCTTGGTCCCATTCCCAGCCTACCATTTGCCTTTTAAAAGGCTGGGAAAAAGACACACACAGTCTTCTCAAGGGTGACTAAGTCTTTATTGATTCTCTGGCCTTTTGGCTGGTCCACTGCCAGCAATCTAGTGGGAGGATGGGCAAATGCCTGAGGCAGTGATGTTTGCTGAATCTCCCTATCCAACCAGTACATCATCTCCTCAAAAATTTAACTGATCACACTCCACCTCTACCCGACATAACCATAATGATCTTCCAAGTTCACACATCCCCATGTTTCATTATTGCCTTCTTTAGGTCTGTTTAATATGTACATGTATTCCACTGGACTCCAGGTTCTATTTTTTTACCTCTTTATAAACAGACATTGCATTTGCCATTCTCCGAACCTTAAGCACCAGCTGTATATATCCAACTGTTTTTCTCCAACAGACAGGGATGCCTACAGTCCTTAGGGGACTAGGGCTAAATATTTCCCTCCCATTCTCATTTCTGATGAAGCTTTAAAATATCTACCAGCACGTGGCAGATTCTGTTATCTATTTTCCCAAATACATAGTGTGCAGTCCTTCTTGGCCAGGTACTGTGTTTTAATTTACTGCCTTGAGGCTTTAACACACATCCTACATTATGACCGGAGTGTGAAGTTCCCTCAGCTGGTTGGCCTTTGAAATATTTATAATCCCCAGCTAATGCCACTTAGCCTTGTGATTCCTGTCACACCCAGCTCAAAGGTGAACCCTCTATGTACAATCCATTCAGCTGCGTACTCACTATTGTGCAGAGTCATTAAGCTGGTATTCACGGGAACGGCTGAAGCATTCCACCATCCCTGAATCTGTCCAAAGTCGCTTCATGGCAGACAGCAGCTCTGGAGAGAATGGTTCCGTATCCTCCATTCGACTCACTACGTCACACACCATTTTAGCATCAGCCTGTGGGGAATGAGAAAATGTATCAGAATGAGACAGCAACAAGCCAATCACATCACGCCAAAGGACTGCCATGAGCCAATCGCGTTATGTCAAACGACATCCACAAGCCAATCAGCTCAATGCAAGAGGCAACAATGACCAATATTGAAATTGAAGGCCATGGCCCCATCAGTGATGACAACTCTGCAACATCCTTCTCTCTCTCTCTTATCTCCACAATGGGCAAATACACACACTTTGCAGTCATTCAGTTGGACAGGCACAGGATTATGATCCAAACCAGGAATCCCAGCTGGTTACTCAGCCCCAGGAACAGTCATGCTGAGGTAAACGTTTGGGCTGCCAACTCAGGGATCGACCTCCAAGGCTTAACTATTACCAGGGGTTGTAGTTTATTCAGCAAACCTTTGCTCATTTAGGGTTTAAGTTGATTATTGGAACAATGTTGGAGGATTCACAACAACCTCCAGCACTTTTACATCCTTCCTTAAAAAGGAGATTAAAACTGCAGTCAGTTTGAGATGTGTTCTCACTAGTGTCCTGTACAACTGAGCGTAACATCAATATTTTTACATTCAATTCCTCTCGAAATAAATCATAGTATCCCATTAGCCTCTTGATTACATGCTGTACCTGCATTTTTGTGATGAACACCTAAATCCCTCTGTGCCTTGGATTTCTGCAGTCATTCTCCATTTAAGTAATGCTCTGCTTTTTTTGTTCTTCCTGCCAAAGTGGACAACTCACATTTTCCCACATTATACGCCACGTACAAACCTTCATTATTTTATTTCATTCTTCTCCTTATTTTTGGTTTGGAGCTGTAAATTGTGAGCCGAGAGCTGATGGTGACTTTTGGACTAGGAAGCAGCAGGTTTAAAAAACGAACTGATATTTGTTTACAAGGCTAGGCCTGAAAATTGATTTCAGGTCTTTTACTTGTTTAAAAAGTGGTCTGTAGATGCTGTGACTCCAGAGAGGCCTTATGCTCAAAGGGCAGGCCAGAGTTTGAAGTAGATTTTGAAGTATGAAAGTCAGCAGGATTGTGTCCACAAAAGCTACAGGTTGGAGGTTTGATTGCTCCCTTATTAAATAGAATCTCAAGATTCTATTATAAGAATTAAGTGAACATGCTGCAGAGCCTACTGGAAGCTGTCTGTATGCATTGGTGTCATCAGAAATCAAGCAAGAATAATGCCATAGGTCAGTGAGGTTACAGTTTGTGGAGACTGCTTGAGTGAACTAACCAGTCATGTCTCATTTATTTCTTTTTCTTTTAATTTATCCCTTAACTGTGTCTGTCTGTCTTTGTTTAAGAGTGGGTGGCTAGAATCAAAACAGCTTAGGTTTAAATCGTAGACATTAATTAGATTACCTCATGCCTTAACTTTGCTCTGCCATAGCTACTACATTATTAATAAATTGTTAAATGTTTAAGTATATATCTGGTGTTAACTATTCATAAAGTCTGGCACCGATTATTCAAAACGTTCGGTTAGTAACCATTGGGATCAATTTTGAGGGTCATTGAGTATTTTATTTTTACTGTATTGCAAATGCAGATGGAGACCAATTTGATTTGGCTGTCCGTTTGTGTCAAAACTCCTGTCCTCGAAGTAACTGATGTAAATTGAAAAAAGTTGAGGCCCCCATCATAGGTTCCTGTGATTACATCCTGCCAAAGACCCATTTCTGCATACACTGTTTCCTGTTAGCAAGCCAATCTTCTTTCCACCACCTACAACCATGAGTTTTCATATTTCACATTAAGCTTTGATGTCAAATTCCTGCTGGAGGTCCATAGTACAACTACAGACTCCACTTTATCCACAGCACGTGCTACTGCCTGGTGATTTCTCTTCACGAAACCATGTTGATTCTTTGCAACTACCCTGAGTTTTACTAAGTGCACATCTTTAATTGTTTTAATGATCACTTTGAACACCTTCCCCACAACAAACATCAAGCCAACTGGCCTGTAGATTTATATTTTCTGCCTCTGTCGTTTCTTAAGCAGAAGTGTTATATTTGCTACTTTTCTGTCTGATGCAACCTTTCCTGAAATAGGGAATTATGGAAATTTAAAACCAAAGCATTTATTACCTCAGTCACACCCTCTTTTAAAACTCTGGGACGAAGTCCATCCAGACCTAGGGATTTGTTATCTCAACTCCATCAGTTGCTTTGTGCCATTTCCCTGGTTGTATTTTGCTACCACTGTCTCTTCCTTCCACGTTCTGATTTATAGTTATTGCTCGAATGATTTTTGTATCCAGAACAAAGCAATCTGCCTAATCGATACCCATTCATATTCTAAATACTCATTCCCCCACCACTAATAGTGCTAATGGCGTGTACTTTATGGAAGATACACTGCAGCAACTCACCAAGGCTTCTTCAACAGCTATTTCCAAACCCCTAACCTCTGCCACCATGGAAGGACAAGGCAGGTGAAGTATTGGAACATGACTGCTATATGCCTAACAGCCAGTTAGTGAAGGAAGAATCCAAAACTAGTCTCTATTTGCGGTATATTTATTTACAGAGTGAAACATTATAGGCATTTATCTCCAGACTCCACTCAAATCCTCACTCAGTGTCTCTTTACATGTTCAAAAAAACCACTCATCCAATTCCCTTCCCCTGTACGTAGTTAAATGCAGTTGACAGAATGAATCAACCAAGCTTCAAGTTTCCCTCTTAAGTCATGTATCATTGTGTGTTGGAACTATAACACCACTCCAGGCGCACCAAACACTGCTCAACAACAGCGCTCATCCTTCAGTTCTCCTGATGTTATTGTTGCTACTGTCCAGTTTTTTTTCATTCAACTGTTTCCATCTCCATTTAGATCGTAACAATTCTCTGTGTGAAGATGAATTGTCATCTCCTCCTGGTTTCTTTGGTTACCAACTCTCTTGTCAATGTAAATACTTTTCCCCCCCAATTACTCTGAGCAAACCACTCAAGTTTGGATACCATCCTCTTAACCTTCTCTGCTCAAAGGAGAGACATACAAGCTTGCCTCTCACCTCTCCACAAAAGGTCTCCATATATCGCTTTCTGCAGCAAAGCCAGTTGAGTGCAATATCTAGTGCTCTGCATTTCATACTAAAAAGAAAGAGCTCTGTGACTTGACACAGTTCTTTCCTTCCTTCCCTGCTCTTCAGGGTTTGGAACACACCAAAGTCTTAAATCTGGATTGCTTCCAAAAGTGGACGGTGATGGGGGCCAATTCGCAGAAGTGATGTAAAGGTTTTAGGGAAGTGCTAAAAAGGAGAGAAAGGGACAGAGGTGGAGCAACTCGGGGAGGGATCTCCAGAATGTACGGTCTTGGCAATAGAAGGCTGCCATTGAAACATTTAAAATGGGGTTGCCCCAGGAGCCAGAATAGAATTGCACAGAAATTCTGAAAGTTACAGAGCTAGGGAGGAGCAAGACCAAGGAGCCATTTGAAAATTAGGATCGCAATTTTAAAACTGAGGCATTAGTGAACAAGAGACAATGTGGATCAGACAAATGTAGGTTATTGAGCACAGGGATGACAGGGTGAATAGGATTTAGCGCAAGCTAATGCAATATGACTGTGTGTAGATGCAGCCAAAGTCATCAACTGGTTGTGAGAAAACAGACTGCAGGAAATGTCTGCACATGTGCAGTGACATCATCGCCATGCTCCACGCGCAGTGACATCATCGCCATGCTCCACGCGCAGTGACATCGTCGCCGTGCTCCACGCGCAGTGACATCTTCGCCGTGCTCCATGTCACTGTCACCTGGAGGTGAATTCCTACAATACTTTGCTGCTGGAGAATGGAATGCTGCTTGGGATAGCAATGGAACTATTCAGCCTGGAGCCAAGTGCTATGTCCAACTCAGTTTTGAAATCACACAACGTTTTGGCCTTGATTGCTTTCTGTGGCAGTGACTTCCAAAATCTCTCCTCATCTCAGTCCTAAATAGTTTATTCTGTATTCTTAGACTGTGGTCCATGGATCTGGAGCACCCCTCCATTAGGAACACTCTTCCTGTGTTTACCCTGTCTAGACAGTTAGAATTTTATAGGCTTCTATGAGATCCCCCCTCATCGTTGTATAACTGTACCTGATTCAACCCTTCCTCATTTGACAGTCCAGCCATGTCAGGAATCAGTTTGGTAAACTTTTATTGCACTCCCTCCATAGCAACAACATCCTTCCTACGATAAGGAGACCAAAACTGCACACAATATTCACCAAGACCCTGTATAATTGCAGCAGGGCATCCCTGTACTTGTATTCAAATATCCTCACAATGAAGGCAACGTACCATTTGCCTTCTTGACTGCCTGTGGTACCTGCATGTGTATCTTCAGTGACTGGTATACAAAGACACCCAGGTCTTCTTGCCCATTTCCATCTCTCAATTCATAGCCAGAGAATAATCTGTCTTCCTGTTTTTCCAACAAAGCAGATAACCTCACATTTATTCACATTACATTTCATCTGCCTTGCATTTGCTCTCTCACTCCCACCTGTACGAATCACACTGCAACATCTCTGCATCCTCCTCGCAGCTCACCTTCCCACCCAGTTTTGTGATGTCATCTGCAAATTTGGAGATTTAGTTCCCTTGACTACATATATATTGTGAATAGTTGGGGTCCAAGCACAGCTCTGGTACCCCACTGGTCACTGTCCATACCCACATCCTTAGCTCTATCTACACAGATATGTATACATGTGAACACACAGCTCTTGTGAAGACTGAGTATAAAACTAGAGATAGGTGGAGCAGACAAAGGATGAGTTATGATTTGAGAAGAATTTAATACCACATCACTGTTCCTCATTAACATTGAACAGAAGCTCATAATTTCACAAAATTTCAAATGTTAAATATTCGAAAAGTGACATATACTGGAACAATTTGGGATAAAGTAAACAGTCAATAGTAACAATGTAAGTTACAAGTTATCCAACCTCATTACAGAATGGAAACAACACGGTGTTTCGTTTATG